CTAGGGGAAAAAGAGATTGAAGTTCAGCAATAATTCAGGAGGAAGTATGAATGGTCCAGATGAGAATGACTGAGGGTCTGATTGAGGCAGTGGTGATGAGACCGAAAGACAGATTGGATTTTTTTAAAATTAAGAAATATAAGTTTATAGCCGGGTTCGGCGGCTCAGCCTGTAATCCCACGCCTTTGGGAGGCTGAGGTGAGTGGATTGCCTGAGCCCGAGGGTTTGAGACCCGCCTGGGCAGCGAGACCTCATCTCTACAATAAATCAAAAAATCAGCTGGGCGTGGTAGCACAAGCCTGTAATTCCGACTACTTGGAAGGCTGAGGCGGAAGGATCGCCGGAGCCCAGCAGGTCGAGGCTGCGGTGGCTGGAGCGTCCACTGCACTCTGGTCTGGGCGACAGAGTGAAACTCCAACTCAAAAAAAAAGAAAAAAAGAAAAAAAGAAATATAAGTTTATTAAAGAGAAGATAACTTGTGAAAGGCACAACGGACAGAACAGCAGCAAGGATGTCTGCTATCTGCTCTGGATTGATTTTTAGGAGAGAAAATTCATAAAACTGGCTTAGTCATCAGATACAGATAAAAAGAAGCAAAAACATCACTCTTTTTATTGTTTTGTATCTCTACTGGATAACGTATCCTACCAGACACATTTTTAAAATGCTTGGAAATAGTTCTTTAATAAGCCAGTCTCCATTGTATTATCTGGTCTTGATTTAATTTTATTTCCAATTTTTAAATTACTTTCTGTGAACCAGAACTTCCCAAGCTTTTCCCCAGCCTCTTGGTATATTTCCAGTTTATAAAGATGTTCTTATTATTTCCAAGTTATTTGCACACAGGAAACCAAAAGGTGACTTTGTTTTCCAACCACATATTTATCTATTTCGACAGCTGTGAGTATAGTATTCAGAAGCAGCCTGAGAATACGGTGGCATGACTTCAACAAGCAAGGAGAGGCCTTAGATTCCAGCCCACAAGCACAAGCCTTCTTTTCACTGTGGGTCACTTAGAGTAACAACACAATTTTTCTTAGTTTTCAAGGTCATCTCGACCTCATTCAACATTTGACTGTGTATCATAAACATAGATTTTTTTTTCTTGGAAAGCGATTTCTAGGCTATAGAAAGAAATGTCAGACTCAGTCTATCAGAGTTTTAGAATTATCAAGGAAGATGAATAACACAGGATAAACAAAATTATTTGTTTCTGTTGCCTAACTACAATTACAAGAGATGAGATGGCTATCTCACAAGTATTTTTATGCGTTTCTAAGGATTGGAAAGAGGACCATCGGGGCTTCAAATAGATTTTGAAGAGATAATGTTAAATTATAAAAATTTTTGGAAGCATATCATATATGTATGTGCTACATGTCTCAAGGATTTTTTTAAAGGCAAAGTCAGCAAACTATAGTCTGTTGGCCATATCTGGCTCATCATCTGTTTTTGTATTGTTGTGAGCTTAGGATAATTTTTACTTTTTTTTTTTTGAGTTAGGGTCTTACTCTATTGTCCAGACTGGAGTGAGGTGGCACAATTACAGTTCACCGCAGCTTCAACCTCCCGGGCTCAGGTGATTCCTTCACCTCAGCCTCCAGAGTACCTGGGACTACAGGCACATGTAACCACACCTGGCTAATTTTTTGATTTTGTGTGTGTGTGTGTGTGTGTGTGTGTGTGTGTGTGTGTGTGTGTGTGTAAATGAGGTCTTTCTATGTTGCCTAGGCTGGTTTTGAACTACTGGGCTCAAGTGATCCTTCTACCCCGGCCTCCCAAAGTGCTGGGATTAGCGGCCTGAGCTATCACGCCTGGCCCACTTTTTACCTTTTTAGATGGTTGGAAAAAAATCAAAAGAAGAATAAATTTTTTTATTTGCGTCAGAGTCTCGCTCTGTCATCCGGGCTAGAGTGCAGTGGCACGCTGCTCACGGCCATCGCAGCCTCGACCTACTAGGTTCAGGTAATCCTTCTGCCTTAGCCTTCCAAGTAACTGGAACCACAGGCGTGAGCCACCAGGCCTGGCTAATTTTTTGATTTATTATAAAGACGAGGTCTTGTCAAGGTGTCCAAGCTGGTCTCGAACCCCTGAGCTCAGACAATCCTCGGCCTCCCAAAGTGCTGGGATTACAGGTGTGAGCCACTGTGCCTGGCTTGGAGAATAAAAGTGTATGATATGTGAAAATTACCTAAAACTCAAATTTCAAGTGTCCATAAATAATGTGTTGTTGGAATCCAGTTCACACTTCATTAGGTACTGACTGCATTCATCTCTGATAGCAGAGCTGAGTAGTTATGACACAGACCTTGGCCTTCTGACCCACAAAGAGTTGAGGTCTCATTCGTCCCCAGTGGCATGATCATGGCTCACCACAACCTCGACTTCCTGGGCTCAGGCGATCCTTCAGTCTCAGCCTCCCAAGTAGCCAGAACTACAGTCATGCGCCACCACGCCCGGCTCTGTAGTATTTTCTATCTGGCTGTTTCCAGAGACTGTTTGCTGATCCTTATTTTAAGAGCTTTCCTCTAAAGAAACACAAGCCTTTAGTAAACGAAGTCTTCTTCTTGGAGATCTCCTGTGGCAGTGATAGATTATGTTATTTATTTATTTTTTGAGTTGGAGTCTCACTCTGTCACCCAGGCTGTAGTGCAGTGGCATGCTCCCAGCCACTGCAGCCCCAACCTTCTCACTTCAGCCTTCCAAGTATTTGGAACTACAGCACTTGCCACCACGCCTGGCTAATTTTTTGATTTACTGTAGAGACGAGGTCTCACCATGTTGCCCAGGCTGGTCTCGAACCCCTGGGGTCAGGAAATTCTCTTGCCTCAGCCTCCCAAAGTGCTGGGATTACAGGCGTGAACTACCACGCCCAGAGAAACACGTTTTAAAAAAAATGCATGAGCTTACTGAAGATAATGGATTTGCCAGAAGGATACAGATATAGGATAAAATCATAGAGATGCCTTTATTATATCTAGGACGCTTATGTTCCCGCCTCATGTCAGTGTAGCATACTTACAAGAACACACGCTTTAGGGTCATTCTTTTCCCCTGAATCTTGACTAGCTTTTCATGACCTTGGGCTAGTCACTAACCTTTTGTAGGTTTCCTAAAAAACAAGGTAATAACGCTACCAACCTCATAGAGTTATGGTAAATATCAAGAGGATAAGTGGGGAGATTTATTTATTTATTTATTTTTTTAGAGGCTGACTTAGCTTGGTACCTGGTACATATACAATACATTTTATTATGATTATCACCATCATCTGAAAATGTCACTTTCACTTCCTGGTGTTCCATTCCTAGTACTGCTTATAACTTCTGCTTTGACAAGGAAATCCATAAGAACTTGCTGAGATCATTTTGTACAATAAGAGTCCCTCTCTGTATTACAATCTGGAGAAAAATGTTCCCCAGGTGCATGAATCCTAGACCATACTTGATAGGAGAGTGGAAAATCGAAGCCCAGGAGGTCTAGAATGAAAATCACAGTGATCATGACTGTTGGAATTCTGGTCTGCACCCAAATGATAGCTTGTGAACGGCACGTTAGGATTTTTTTCCATGTTAGACTCTATCCCAACTTTTTCTATAGAGTTTTGTGATGGATTGTTGATGAAAGAAAACTCCTCTGATTTGGTAGCTACTGTCTTTTTTTTTTTCCGGCGTGGATAAACTTGTTGTCCTTTTATTTCATTTTATGTTAGGTTAACACTGCCATGTTTCTTTTGTTACTTGATGCCTCACAGACATCTCCCGGAAGAGCTCTTAGAAAATCGTGAGAGTGCCATTCTTGGGAACTTGGTGGTTTCCTTTTCACTGGGCTTGCCACTGCCTGGCTTGTCTGCCTTTGGACTTGTTGTGATTCTGGGTCCCTTCGGAGGAACTAGGCCTGAGGAGCTCATGGCTCCTGGGCTCCAATGCTACTTCTCTTCTCTTTCCTCATCTCCAAGTAGGTCCAGATCAGCCTCCGCAGATGCGGCCTGTTCTGCTCACCACGGGTGGTCTGGAGTCAAGTGATAGGAATCCCCTTTCTTTTCTTGGCCCTGCCCTCACAAAACTAATCTCTGCCTAAAGACAGTTAAAGGGAAGATACAATTAGTTAAAGAAAAATCAGAATACCAGGAGGCAGAAACTTGGAAACCACAATGCGGCCTGGGAACAGAATGCTTATAGATCTAGGGTTTTTTTCTTTTTAAAAATCACATAAAAGGCCAGGCTCGGTGGCTCAGCCTGTAATCCCAGCACTTTGGGAGGCTGAGGCGAGTGGATTACCTGAGCCGGTGGGTTTGAGACTAAATAGCTGGGAGTACAGGCACATGCCACCATGCCCAGCTAGTTATTATTATTACTATCATTATTATTTTTTGTGTGGAGACAGGATCTCAGTATGTTGCCCAGCCTGCACTCAAACTCCTGGCCTCAAGCTAGTCCCCCACCTGGCTTCCTTAAAATGCTGGATTTACAGGCGTGAGCTACTGCACCTGGCTGAACAGGCGCCATCAATTGAGTTTAGTCACCCAAAAGAAGAACAAAATATTTCTTTTTTTTTTTGAGTCGGAGTCTCACTCGGTGGCCCAGACTGGAGGGCAGTGGCCGCTCCCGGCCCCCGCAGCCTCGACCCGCTGGGCTCCGGCGATCCTTCCGCCTCAGCCTTCCAAGTGGCTGGAATTACAGGCATGCGCTCCCACGCCCGGCTGATTTTTGGATTTATTGTAGAGATGAGGTCTCGCTGCCCAGGCGGGTCTCGAACCCGCGGGCTCAGGCCATCCACTCGCCTCAGCCTCCCAAAGGCGCGGGATTCCAGGCTGAGCCACTGAGCCCGGCTAGGAACAGACTAGCTCAGCATGCTTGCCTATTCTCGTTGGAATCACGGTTAAAGAAGACGAGTATAAACACGCACACATCGGCGTGGTGTGTGGATGACACCCAAGACGGGAAGGCTCACAGGTACGCCTGTGAGAGGGAGGGGCAGGGGGCAAAGGGCGGGGTCCGTTACTGGTAGGAATAACTCTCATCATCATATTCCAGCTCATCGTCCCCTTCGTCATCCAGCAGCCCATACTTAAACTTCCGATAGACGGTGCCGTCTTGGCCCATGTAGACGATGTCATCGTCCTCGTCCTCATCATAGTCCCGGTCCCTGTACTCAATCACCTGATCTTCTTCAAAGCTGGTGCTCTCTCGGTAGCTGCTCTTACAGGAGGAGAAAGACCTGTTGGGGTCAGCCAGCTGCTCGTAGCCGGCCTTGGCCGCTGGCCTGACTCGGCCCCGAGATTTCCTCCAGACGAGCACAGCCGCCCCAAGCAAAAGCACCAGCATGATGGAGGATGTGACAAACAGAGCGGTCTTGAAGTGCCCGGCGGCAGGCCCAACCTCGCTTGTCCGAAGGATGCACTCGTCTGTGGGAAGAGGACCCCAGGGGAAGAGGGAGAGGAAGGACGTGGGAAAAAAGACATGGGAGGGGGGGAATGAGTTTCCGAGGGAAAGAACAACTTCATCTTTCTTTTTAAAACCTAAAACGATCGAATCACCATCTCTGATTTTCTTAGAGGGGCCATCACAAAAGTGTCCTTGGAACAAGGCTGATTCCAGTGGTTTAACGGATATTTTGGAAAACCTCTTGGGTATTTCAACTTGTATGTCCAACGTGGCCTGATTGTTTGTCTTTTTTTGTGTGTGTGTGTCGGAGTCTCACTCTGTCGCCCAGACTGGAGGGCAGTGGCCGCTCCCGGCCACCGCAGCCTCGACCTGCTGGGCTCCGGCGATCCTTCCGCCTCAGCCTTCCAAGTAGCTGGAATTACAGGCATGTGCTACCTCACCCGGCTGATTTTTTGATTTTATTGTAGAGATGAGGTCTCGCCTGCCCAGGGGGGTCTCGAACCCGCGGGCTCAGGCAATCCACTCACCTCAGCTTGTCTTTTTGTCTAGCTCTTGTCTACTCTTTTTTTTGAGTCAAAGTCTCACTCTCTCACCCAGGCTGGAGTGCGGTGGCACGCTCATGGCCACTGCAGCCTCCAACTGCTGGGCTCAGGCGGATCCTTCTGCCTCAGCCTTCCAAGTAGCTGGAACTACAGGCGTGCGTCACCACTCCCGGCTAGAAGGATACTTTACAAGAGGTTCTAAGTATATTCTATACACTAGATTAATGAACATCACCCTGCTGCTAGGTACAATGATTTTTCCTTATTAAGTATTGACCAATTAGATCTGAGTTATCACGAATATGTACTTCTCTCTCTTTGTTGCTAGTGCTAAACAAGTTTTCTATTTTATCATAACTTTCATTCTCATGAGATTTTACCTATCAAGCCTAATTTCCTCTTCTAAAGTAACAGCAGTACCATTATTGCATTCATCGTTAGCAAGATCAACACCGAACTTTCCCTGGAGGAAATATTAAGGCACCAGAGGGATTGATAAGCAATCTGTGTGTGGTACTTTGAGATAAATACTACCTGAAGCAGTAAAATCAATAAGAGACTTCTGGTGGTTGTTTCAATTACTAAGGTGCCATATGCAGTCACGCCTTACTTACTATTCTTCGTCTTAGATCTGCAGAGTTAGGGTTAGCCTTTGCAATCTGGTTTCTCTCTGTTTTTTTTTTTTTTCTTTTGAGTCAGAGTCTCACTGCTGCCCAGGCTGGAGTGCAGTGGCACACTCAGGCCACCACAGCCTTGACCTGCTGGGCACAGGCAATCCTTCCGCCTCATCCTTCCAAGTAGCTGGAACCACAAGCAGGCACCACCATGTCCGGCTAATTTTTTAAATTTATTGTAGAGATGAGATCTCACCAAGTTGCCCGGGCTGGTCTCGAACCCACAGGCTCAGGCAATCCTCTTGCCTCCGCCTCCTAATGTGCTGGGATTACAGGCATGAGCCACCATGCCCGACTGGAATTTTCTTTATGTATAGATGGATAGAATCACATAAATATAACATCTCTTTTTGTCGGGCAGTGATCCATCAGGACTCCAAGGAAATAATCTATTTCTGGGCTAGGGAATATATTTTAAGAATATATGTTTTCTTTTTAGAAGGAATCTCGCCATTGAGGATCTTTCTAAGTTTGTGACACAGGAGATCCAAGCACCCACATGGATAGGGTTGGATACAGAAGACAATTGGGGGACTAGGAAGAGGTAAAAGAGTTTTTGTTTCATCTTAGCTTTCAATAAAAATTTATTCTAGAATGCCACAAGTCTCTGATAGGAGTCCTAGATTTCAGCTGACTTCTACAGAATGATCCTTCAATAGAATCAGCATAATATTGGCATCGGCTTCACTGATAGTTGATTCTCTTGCTTCCCCCTACCCCCCGACAGCCCTACCTCCCCCCAAAGAGGGAAGAATTTTAAAAAAGGAACAAAGTAAATTCATGAAGATAAAGCTCTAGCTGTACTTAAGCTCTAATCCTGGAAGCAGCAGAGGACTTCATGCTGGATGAAACTTTTTAAAAATTTAATTTAATTTCATTGTTTTATTTCTCTGAGTTGGAGTCTCACTCTGTCGCCCAGGCCGGAGAGCAGTGGCCCACTCACGGCCACCGCAGCCTTGACCTGCTGGACTCAGGCGATCCTTCCGCCTCAGCCTTCCAAGTAGCTGGAACTACAGGCGTTTGCCACCATGCCTGGCTAATTTTTGATTTATTGTAGAGACAAGGTCTCACCAAGTTGCCCAGGCTGGCCTTGAACGCCAGGACTCTCGCCTCCACCTCCCAAAGTGCTGGGATTGCAGGTAGGTGTGAGCCACTGCGCCCGGCCGAAACTTTTAATACTGTGAACTTGGGCATGCTCATCAGACCCTTTGAGCCTAAGTCTCCTCATCTGTAAAACGAGATTGATAATCTCTGCTTGTGAAGTGAGACAATGAACATGAAGTGTCAAGGACAGTAAGCACATAGTAGACACTCCATAGAAGGCAGCCATATTGGTTTTCCTGAACCTCCTCTGCTCCCTCTGCTCCCATCAGCTTCCTGGGGTCAAGTCCCTCCTCTGCAGGCTGCTCTTTCTCTCCCCTTACCCGTGGTGTCCTGGCAGTCACAGCACTCCTGGGTATCGGTGGGATCAGAGGCGTTGCAACAGCGGAGGCAGCGGCTGTCATCCACGTGCAGCACCAGGTTGGCGGGACACAAGGTGCAGTTCTTGGCGCCAGGTCCCTTGCACTCCATGCAGCTTTCATGACACTTTTCACAGTTAAATTTCTCTCCCTGTTAAGAATGATTGAGAGGTTCCTATTGAGTGCAGAGGGATTAACAAGACACTGGAGATCCCAGAAGGGCATTTCATCTCGTCTCCATAAGGAGAGAGGTGGATGGGGAACAGCAAAAAATGGTGTGTTCTGAGTCCATTTAACTGTGCTGGGTGAAAGAAGCATCTGTCTCCAGTCGGAGGAAGTCATGGCTGGGCCCTGACCTAGGATACTGGCTGCTAATAACACCGGGAGAACAGATTTTTTTTTGAGTTGTGAGTCTCACTCTGTTGCCCAGGCCGGAGTACAGTAGCACGATCATGGTTCACCACAGCCTTGACCTCCTGGGCTCAGGCAATCCCTCTGCCTCAGCATCACTAGTAGTCGGGACTATAGGTCTTGCCATCATACTTGCTTTTTTTTTTTTTTTTTTTTTTTTTTGAGAGACGAGGTCTCCCTATGTTGCCTAGACCGTTGAACTCCTGGCTCAATACACCTAGCCAGGAGAACAGGCTTCTAGAATAATGTGGGTTACAACTAACAGCTCATGTGCTCAAGAACAGCTCAGGACAAGGACTAGTTTTGTCTGGCCTATGCTGTATTGATTTCCACAGTAAAACATTTTGCATTCATTTCCCACACCTCCAAGGTGGGAGATTTCACATGTAAATCAGTTCCTAATTTCTCTTTAAAAATGAGACTTGTCAGCCGGGCTCAGTGGCTCGGCCTGTAATCCCAGCGCTTTGGGAAGTGCTGAGGTGAGTGCTGAGGTGAGTGGATTGCCTGAGCCTGTGGGTTTGAGACCCGCCTGGGCAACTTGGCG